AGCACTGCAGAAGTCATCAGGGAAGGGGAACATGCCTGAACTTGGCTGCTGTGAAGCCTGTAAAGTTGACAAGCCAGTGATTGTATGGATATTGATGGTGAGAAAGCAAGGTGGTGGTTGCAGAAAAAAAACTAATACCTTGGATGAGAACCTATGACAATTCAAATGGGGAAGGGGACATAGCTATTCATTTTTAGAAACCTGTACACTAACGTTAGAACTTGCTCTAGATGAAAAGGGCAAGAGATAAAAAAGAGCAAATCCCCTTGCTGGATTTTAGATCAGTTTGTTTGGGGGAGGAAGGGAGGTGTGTACATCAGATAATTTTAGAAAGGAAAATCACGGTAGAACCATGCAGCTGACCTGCAAAGGTTTGTATGCATTTCTGCTCTCACCTTTGTTATGACGCTATTAGGTGTGATATGTGAGCAGGGGGAAGGTAGTCTCTAGAGGGACCCCTCTCACCACTTACAGAGCACTCACAAACCACACAGGCTCACTCAATGCTTCGTGTCTAAATTCAACTAAATATGGTGTGGGCCAACAGCCCTGGGAAGGGTGCTGGGAGATGGCAAGAGCTAAACAAGACGCAGGTTTCTGTTGGGATACAATATTGAATTGTTTTTTAATTCATTTCTGTTTAATTTTTTTTTCTCATTTTGTTGTTTTTTATCATGTTTTTCTTTGGGTTTCTCTCTGTTTTACAGTTCTTTTGGGCTCTTCTTTTGAGGCTGTGTTTGATGCGTTGGCTTCCCATCCGCTGCTCGTAACCATCTCTGCTATGAGTTGTGAGTGAGCCATCACCATGCTTCTGGGTTTTCATTTTGTTTTGTGCTTTTGTTATATACGGAAGTCCAAATTACACCTTGTTTTCCTTTTTTTCCTCATGATATGCTTGTTTTTCAGCAGGATCGTGACAGCTACCTAAATGTGATGCAAAGACCTAGAACAATTGGGATTCTGTCTGAGGGGCTGGCAGATATTTGGGTGGTACCAGAGACTGTGATTTTGTCACTTCTGTGGTTTCAGAGGCAAGGGGAGGGGAATTCTTTCATCTTACATTTCTGGGTCCAGCTTCCTCTATTCATTTCTGACTCCCCATTGCAATAAAATATGTTTCTATCATTAATAATTCTACAAAGTGGTGCTGTTTAAATTAGCAAATCAAAACACATATAAGAAGTGCAGATTTTGTTCCCAACAGAAGAGGTGGAGATGCGTGTCCCTGCATTTCCCCCATGAGCCTAACTGAAGAAGCAGAAGATTTCTAGAAGTCACAGAGATTCTTCCTTTTCATTCAGTTAAAGCTTTCTTTCACTTTTCGTGCTTATCACAACCTTATAACAACAAGTTATTTCAATCCAAGATGTATCTCCAAATGCCTTCCATGATTTGTGGCATTTTCTCTCTCCCCTTACCACCTTCTTGTCGATCTGTGCTAACTTTCTTTTCATGTTCTTACTGCTGAAAATCCTTTTCCTGGTTCCAGGAGAGATGAGTTAATGATCCTAGATGACAGCAGGCTTGCTGGGGACAAAGGTGGTGGGTCTCATGAGGTGTTTGCACAGGCTTCCAGAAAGTAGGGGAAGAACCAGTGGTCATGTTCCATGAGAGTACCACGGTCTTAAGAAACAGCAGAAGGAAAGTACTGGCATACAAATACAAGTTTTTGGGAAGGAAGCTGAAAACTGGGACATTCAGAATATCAGTGTAGGGACCAGTGAGGCAAAAGGAAAAATTCTAATCTCTATGAATGAACATGGTATAAGGAGCTGGGGTTCAGATTAGTGAGGAAATACAAGCACTCCTCAAATAAAGGAAGTGTACTGGAAAGACAAACTTCGTATGAATCACAAGGGAGACACTGTTGGCACTTGAAATACAAATGATCATGAGTGTTTGACCTGGAGAATGATGAAAAGCTGATGGGTGGAGAAGAGCACAGCTTGGAACAGTGCATCCACTTCATATAGGATTTTGTTACCTGGTTCTGTCTTTGTGAGGTAGTCTACATTGCAATGCAGTGAAAGGAACACAGAGTATGGTTTTTGCTCTGTGGTAGTGATATAAGACATTTTCCCAAACTAAAACTCGTTTTAAATCAAGCTTCTAATGTAATATACTTCATATCTGTGACATCTCCCCAACAGCACTGTGTAATAAAGTACTTCAGCTTTGTGGTAGACACAGCATGAATGCAAGAAGAGATATACTTTATAACATTTTTGATAGTAATACTGATGAGTAAAAAATTAAAAATAAATCATGCATAGTTGAATATTGTATTTCAACTTGCTACCTTATTATATATTCATCATTTTGGGGATTCAAATCAGTTGAGTTTTATAGGATGCCATGGTCTGAACCTCCTAACTGTAACAGTTTCTATTCTGTGTCAAATGTGGATTGGTCTGGACAACAAGGATGTTTTATCCAGGCTCTTTTCCACCACTGGACAATGTTGTGGTGGGATGAAATTTATTAACTGGAAGAAATGAAGTGTGTAAAGAAATCATCTGGAAAATTAATGTTGGTGAATTCAGAACAAAAGTCAATAACAGTTGGGTATACAGCATGTGCTACAACAAATGCTCAGGCAGGAGCTGTTTGTTTGGATGAAAAACAAGGTATCTCCACAGCCTGGGAAATATTTGATTGAAGTGATTAGTGCCACAGTCAAAAAGCATGACTAATTGCCTTATGACTGGCAGAGCAATCAAACATCGTTACAGGAGGTGCAGCCTTTATGAGAAAAAGATGCTGTTACACAGTTAGCATCTACCTGTTTTGTTTAAAGGACTCTGAAGGTCCTGTCAAAGCAATTGCAGTCTTGCTTAGTTGCAGTACCCTTCACTGGGGTACTACATGAAAGAGGACTAGAGAGAGAGAGCCCTTGGGGTTCAGCAGCAGGACTGGCTTGGGGAGCAGCCAGTCATGTTGGCTGTGGGACAGATGCACAGTTAAAAGATGGCTGGGTTTTGATTTGCTTCTGAAAGAGGAGGGAAATAACATTTGGAAACTGCCTAGCATTGGTTTCAGAACAGATCTAATTAAAGACTACAAAGATAGCCTGTCTGCCAGAAATAGTATGTATTGATCTAAAATGATTTTCAGAGATGTTGCCAACCATACTGAAACCAGCACACGTGGTATTTGGTTCAGTACATACACAGCTGATAACTGAAGACACTGAAGTCAGGAAAGAACATGAAAGACAACTTCCATGGACTGCAAACACTGAATAATATTTGTTGTGAAAACATTATGGATTACATGTTAGAATTGTTCACAACACACTCTTATGTCTCATGAAAAGTATCAAAGCACCCTAGCTTCTATTCATAATAGAAAAGAGGAATGTCCTCTTGCTTTTGAGTATGTAGAGAAAATTTATGGTGACAGCTGGTTCAACAGATGTATTCCAGTGGCCAGTATTCTGCTTTTCGGGAACTCACATCAGTGAATTCACTGGAATTCTGAAAATATTTTGCAGTCATTTGTCAGTGAAAATCCTAAATTGCATGCTCTGAGAGAAATGAGGTAGAGGAACAGCAATACAATATCTCTGCTATTACCTGCTGCTAAATAAGTATCTTATAGCTCAGGCTGGTGTACTGCAAGATTAAATGCTGCATTAAGTGCATGGGATGTGCACAGAGGTTCTCCTTGTGGAGTATTTGATTAGCGTAAAGGAGTTGTAAGATAGACTTGCAGCTTTTTTTGCTTGGAGTCACTGTAACTTAAGAGCTGCATTGTACACCATACAGGTGTACATGTTCATGGCATGGTGTTGATGAACTTGCTTAACAAACATTTGAAGTTTTATTCTTTCTGAGAATGTTGAAATTCAGAGCAACTTCCCTGTACCCAAAAGGAAGCAACTGAATTGTACGTATTTAAAGTGGCAGAAGGGTGCCCTGGAACAAAAGTACAGAGTTTTAGGCGCAGTTTTGAAAGCATAGGCACAGCTTAAAGAACAAATGTGAATCAACTGACCTACATGGGACAAGTTACTCAATTAGACTTGTTATTAATGTGCTCAATTTTCTTAGGATCTTCATTATGAGTATGTTTAGTTTTTTGCCCAAGCTTAGCCTTAAGATGGAAGAAGTGTGGGCCTGAACCTGGTTTTGCCACAAGAAATTTGAAAGCACTCTGTTAACTCGCATTAACTCTGGTGCTTCTAGTTCAACTGAAAGGATTTGGTGGATGTCATGATTTAAATGCAAGTTTTTCAGAACAATGGCATCTTCATTAAGTGAACTCATGTGGATAATGTTCTTGTGGAGGCAGCAGTAGAAAGAGTTGGAAGAGCTGCTCAGCTCCTGAAAGAGAAAAAGCCTCCAGGTTAGAGGAATAGTCACTGGAATGCCATTCCACAGCCACTGTATTGAGCCTTCACTTTCCAAATACAGGAAATGGAGAATCAAAGAGAAAATAAAGATATATGGTCTAAGATATACTGGGAAGAATCTGGAAAAAAGTAAGAACTCTGGAAGTCAGAGGTTCTTAATTTGTTGAAGTCTTGCAGAAGATGTCGACAAGCATTGTCAGTAAATGTGTATGGTCATCTGCCTTGTATCAGAGTAGGCAATTCCTGTTCTCATCCTGACCAGGCTGTCTTCAGGCTTTGCTTAGCTCATGTTATTCATGATTCAGTTTTGCACTTGCACTTCTTTACTAGCTTTTCCTTTGACCTGGAGTTTAAAAAGGAAAATATGATCCTGGATAATGTTCTTATCTCTATGCCTAGACTATTACTGTTCTAACATATCACTGTAACCACCTTGCCTTCTCTGTAAAATAATCTTTTCTAGAAATGCAGAATTGGAGACTGCTGTCTGTTTAGCTGGCTGCTAGAGCACAAGAAGGCAGTAAGAGCTTTGTATCTCTTGGGTATATATGAAATAACAGTATAGACAAGAAGTTCTCAGGATTTAGCTGCACAGGGGATTTAGTTGTCTGCTCTGTCTCTGAGATTTTCTCTTGTCTCCCTTCAGCCCCGCAATGTTGCTGGTTTTCGAGGAACGGTCCGCTATGCCTCTGTGAATGCACACAAAAACCGAGTGAGTATTTTGGGGTTATAAGGAGTTGAGAGTAAGATTATTTCCCCTCAGAAACCTGTTTTCAGGAGCAGGGGAGTAAGAGGCAAGAGTTTTGGTTTGTTATCTACAGAAGTTAGTGTATCAGATGATTTCCATTAGGTGGTCAAGGTTGTAAAATGAAAATTATGATTCTGTTATTGGATCCTCTCTAGTTGGCAGCCTTAATAATTGTAATTATTGCATTATCAGACACTTTTTAAGGGCAAACCCCACACACACTTAAGGGGAAATCTGGGTAAGTGCCAGGCTGCTTGCTGCTAGTTTCTAGCAGAACTCGGCTGAGAATTACCAAGTGCCAGGTCCTAAAATCCATTCTTCACCTGTAATTTTTTAATATTAATGTCATGCTGTCAGGTGAGGAGCCACCTAGTTAGGGCTAGGTTATTTTTCCTTGAAAAGAGCCATTATTTACATAGTGTCTGGCCTGTTTCCTTCTAAACACTTCCAGAAGTCTTGTTCAACATTCTTCTCAAAACGCTCCTCTGTCCTATTTCGGTAATGTTCCTTTGCAGATGGTAAACATTAAGTTTGGACAATGCTCTCAGGCCAATGGTGTGATTTTTGGGGTGTCCTGTGCAAGGCCAGGAGTTGGGCTCAATGATACTAATGGGTCCCTTCCAACTCACCATATTATACGATTCTATGATTCTAAGTTATGCTAAGTGCTTGCCAGATGGAAACTATCAACCCTCCTGCATTTACCTCCAGGTTTCTGGCTCTTCTTGTGCTGAGTCTGTAGAATGACCTGTGACATATAAGGAAGTGTCAGGTTCTTTTAAGGAGAGAAGTTATTGTCTGCAAAATGTGGAAAGTGTGATGTGGGGAGGGCAGTTGAATGCCATCATAAGTTCTCTGTTTCCTGGGAGACACTGAGAAACCTGAAGTATAATTTTTGGAAGAGCTGAATAGTGCCAGCTGTAGCTGGTATCAGCTGAATGTATATTTAGACACAAAAATTGCTGTATAATGCAGGCTATTCTGAGAAATCATGTTCTAGACATTGGATGTTGAGCACCAAAAATGAATTTGTATGCTTTGGCAATTTCAGCCTTAACCTCCATGTTTCAATTTCCGATTCACTAGCCCAGGAGGAGAGTGGTATGTGAAGTGTTATAAATCTGTAAACTGTTGTGATGAATGATGGCAAGTGTTTTGCAAAAGCCCTTGAGCAAATATTGTCTTGTGAAAAGAGTTTGAATGATATTTAAGCTTAGAAATAATAATAAAAAATATGTCCTACACAAGTTTTGGGATTTTTTTTCTTAATCTAGGTTATTCCACATCCCATTAGTAAGTATTTCACTCCCGTGGAATATTCAGTGAGGGACAGTCCTATGGAAAACTTGTGCTTTCTTGTATAGATAAAAAACCCTTTGCTAATATATTCACAAAAATGAAAACAAATGAGGTTATTTAGGTGACTGTATTGATGTTGCCAAGTTTAATAAAAACTTGGGTTTGTGTCTTTAGTCTTTAATTTGGCTTCTTTAGTCATTGAATGGGAAGTATGACTTCTCTTCCTGACTTTTAAATGAGGCAGCTCATCTGGAAAGCACACCTGGACTACTGAGCAGAGTGGAACTTTGCTCCTCAGTCTTAGTCTCTCTTTTCTTCAGGAGATGGGTAGACATGATGACCTGTGGTCCCTCTTTTACATGTTGGTGGAGTTTGCGGTTGGTCAGCTTCCATGGCGAAAGATCAAAGATAAGGTAGGAAACCTAGTGTCTGTGCTTAAGAGAGGGTGTTCCATAATAATTTTAATTATTATGACTCTCTATTATTTGTCCTGCAGCTCTGTGCAGCTTTTTTCTAAAGTAAAGCCAGAATCTTCTTTTCATCAGATCTTGCTGCAAGATGCTAACCTGGTTTTCTGATGCACAGAGTGGGCTTCTCTTATTTGGAGTAGTTAGACTTTATTTTAACGCACATTGTTAATCATACTTGATCAAGTGATACTTACTTTGTTCTTGCAAAGCAAAAAATAAAATGGAAAGACTGAGCTGTCCTTTTGACAAATAAAAAGAGCCTTTAGAAAGACAGGAGGATAATGCTTTGCTGTGCTAAACAAGTCAAATGGGATTTGAAATCAGAAAGCTAGGCAGAATAAACCTAGCTGTTCATGATGTCTTGGAAACACTTTTTGCTAGAGAATAAAATCCCTGGAAAGAAGTAGATTGCCTGTGCAGAAGGCTCTGCTAAAGGGACTCTGGGGAGTGTTTCTAACTCAGGATTCCCCTTTGACTTCTGCCTGCAGTAATCAACCTTCTTGTGCTTGGGACAGCAAACAGAAGTGTATAGACACTGTGCTGGAAGAGGCTGTGTTCTAGGAATAAGACTAGGTGATATTGCAGAAGAGATAAGTCTGTATAAATGTGAAGCAATAGAAGAGATTCTTGGCTCTGAGATTATTTTTTTTTCCCAGGAGCAAGTTGGCATGATAAAAGAAAAGTATGAACACCGAATGCTGCTAAAACACATGCCTTCAGAGTTCCACCTTTTTCTGGATCACATTGCAAGCCTAGACTACTTCACCAAGCCAGACTATCAGGTGGGAGCCTTTCTTTGCTACCAGTATGGTGCATGGCACTGCAGGTTGGTGTTTGGATTTTTTGAAGATTTCCATTCCTGTGTTTATATCTGGCTGAGAAATACCTTTCCTAGGACCAGGAAAAAAAGGCTGAACTGTACAGTTCTCCAAAATCTCAAATGTTTTTTTCCAAAAAAATGTTTTTTTCCACCCTTTCCAAAATAATCCTGTATTCCACACCAAAAAACTCTTCCCAAACAACACTGTACTTCTGGCTTTAATTAAAACACAAAAATTTTGAGGTACTCCAAATGTCACAGAATTCTAGTGCAGCTTGCCAAGATCTGCAAAGAGCCTATACCAGCGGCTCGACCGTGCCTGCCAACCCCTTTGTTTTCTTGCAGACTCGTATGGGCCTTGGCCATTGTTATCTCTTTCTTTAATATTCATCTAACATATAGATTTTCCTCCCATTCAGTGTTTGCTATCAGCATGTATATGATCAGTTATGGTAGCTCAACTAACACAATATAACTGGAGCAACTTGATTCTGTGCACTTTTTTTTTATCACGGTGGTTTTCTCTGTACATTAAGACAGAGTGATGGAAAGAACATTTTATTAGCAAATCTATGCCTGCTTCTGTTGCCAGTGCATAAAATGAGTGGGAAAGTGGTAGGAGGGTGTTCCAGCAAACTCTCTTCAGGAGTGCTTTTATGTTTTAGCCATGTACGTATTGTAGCGTAGCAACACACACTTTTAAAAAATTAAAAAGAAAAAAAAGGCAAATACTTTCCAGAGAGTGCAGTGGAAAATAACGTTTGCCACTAAGATGAAGAGCTGTAGAGGGATGGAGGTGGACTGAGAAGATGCAGAGGGAGCTGGATTTTTTTGGCCTGGAAAAGAGAAGTCAAAGAGGGGATCTGATTCCTGTCTTTTGCTGCCTCAAGGACAGTTGTAGGGAGAACAGAGGCAGCAAGGGAAGTTGTGACTAAATCTAGGGGTTAAAAAATAAGAATGTGTGTTCTTAAATATGAAACAGGTACCTAGAGAAGCTGTGGAATTTCCATTCTTGGGATTTCCAAAGATTGACTGGATGAGGAATCTGATTTGCATTTTCAGTAGCTCTGGTTTGAGCAGGTGGTTGGATTAGAGGTTTCAGAATCTCTTTTTGAACCTACATCCTCCTATATTCTATTCCAGTTTAAAATAATTGTGTCGTAATGGTACTGAAAAGCCATCCTTGAGATGGAAATGGAGGGAGATGTTTTCAGACAGTTCTAGGTCGTACAAATCACAAACAGCTCTTTTACAGTAGGGGATTTGACTGAAGCTGTGAATTGCCTCTTTGCCTTCAGTTTCCTGCAGTTGCTGCTTGGGCAAGAAGCCTCCAAAAGGGAATTCCCCACAAAATTCTGCAGCTTGCCACTTAAAGTGATTCTTCTAGCTTGACTTGGAGACCTATTCCAAACAGCAAATTCTCCAAAGAGCTCAGTTCCAGAGATGTCTTTATGTTGATTTGTCTGGATGTATTACTGTGGAAGACTTTAATCTTTCACAAGGAGGCAGTTCACAGCTTCAGTCAAATACGCTACAGGGGTCCTGTAAGAAAGATGGGAAGAGATGTTTTAGCAGACCCTGTTTCAATAATACAAGGGGTAATGGTTTTAAACTGAAGGAGGGTAGATTTAAACTAGATATGAAGAAGAAATTCTTCACTATAAGGATAATGAAACACTGGAACAGGTAGAGGTTGTAGATGACCCATCTCTGGAAACATTTGAAGACAGGCTGGAAGGGGCTCTGAGCAACCTGGTCTAGTTGAAGATGTCCTTGTCTGTGGTAGGGGGCTTGGACTAGATGACCTTTAAAGGTCCCTTCCAACCCAAACCATTCTACGATTCTAACTTATCCAATCTCTGTCTGTGTTCAGCATCCACCATGTGACAGGGCGGCACCACAGCTTAAGTTCTTGCTGTAAGAAAAACTGCTTTCTTCTGTTTGTTCTACATTTGCCACCTGCCAGCCTGATTTAATGCCCCTTACATCTTGGTCATGACTGAACTGGTGCCTCGCTTCTTTCTCACTCTCAGCCACAGAATCCTGAGCACCTGGGACTGTTATGTGCAGTTTTCCAGTCCACTTTTCTCCTTGTAAGGTTTTTACCTTTCATCAGAAGTATAAAGGTTTCAGAGGAAGCTGAGAAGACTCAATAAGTCCATGGAATAGCTTGAGAATAATGGCAGATTAGGACAGTAGTATCCTTCAGCCTGTGAAGAAGGCTGTAAAATCCCTAATGGCCTGCAAAGTCAAATGCAAGAGGTACAGAATAAGTTATAGCAGAAAGTATCAAAAGTTGTTTTGACTAAGTGGGTCCTTGATGGCATGAAGGAACACTAAGAATAAGACAGCTGAACCTGAACTTCTAATTTTAGCATGTGGTTTCTTACTTCAGACTGCTTCAGTATCAAGGGAATGGAAGGTGGCAGAAGCAGTACCAATTTTTAAATAGCTTCAGAAGATCCCAGTCCCTGACACCGACATGTCCATCACAAAGAATCAGAAGCTGTGATAAGACTGGGATTAGTGGACATATGGGTGAGGATGATCTAGTGAACAGAAGCCAGTAGGGCTTTTATAAGGGCATCTGTCTACAAATGTGTGGACTTCTTGCAAGTTATCTTTGAGGATGTGGGGATATTAATTTTGGAAAGACATTTGACAGTAGCAGTCAAAGCATTGCCAAAGTAGCCGTCAGAAGAATCATAAGAATAATTAGAATAGCATTAGAGGGTAAACAGAAAATATCCTTGTATTACCATGTAGATTTGTGTGAAGCATACTCTTAAATACTGTCTGCAGTTCCATTCCTGCATATCAAAAAGGATATCTTCAAATCAGAGAAGATGTAGAGAAGGGTAGCAAGGAGGCTCAAGATGGATTCAGATATGCAAAGACTAATTAGATAGGACAGTACACTTTGAAAAAAAATAAGAGTACTGACATGTGCGTGACATCTTTAAAATCAAAGGCAGAATGGCAAGAAGTGAATGGCAAATTATTGTATTCTGCTTCTTCTGATATGAAAATAAGAAACTGTCAAATAAAATTAGCAGGGCGTGAGTTGGAACGAGTAAGGAAGGTAGTTCACATAACTGGTGTGTTCTTTGCCAGAAGATAGGTATAGTCTGAAAGCTTATGTATTCAGTAAGTAATTAGGCAGATTAATGCCCATTTCCATCTGGGTGAGAGGGGAAATGGCATTTTTGTGACAGGAGGCTAACAAGCCGAAACACAATCCTATCAAATTTAACTGTCACACCAGTAAAATCTCTTTCAAGACAAAGAAGCTGGTACCACTATCACGTCATGTTCACAGTGGAGAGGCGTTACATGTGCCTTGGTCAGACCAACAGTCTACTGTGGAAATTCTTTTAATGAAATGTTGTGTCACTGCAGGAGTGGAGCACCTAATTCTGGGGTTCTAGGTCACAAAAAGGAGGAAAAAGATGGCTCATCTGAAAGCTGCAAATAGACATTTTACTGCAGTTTGGTGGAAGGTAGTAGGAAGTGATAGGCTGTCTTGTCCTTCCGATCATGCTGATAAAGAGAACTGGAATATAAATACAGAGTGTTTGTTCATGGTAATTTTTATTCATAACTTAGTGCTAATTCTATACCATAAGCCAAATGTATTTACCACCACACTTTTTCTCTCTGTAGACTTTAGACTGAATCCTGTCAGTTCTACATTATTTAGCTAAATAATTTTATTAGAAATATAGGTCCTCATAGCTCTGTTGGTCTATAACATCCAGTTTCCCTTTGACAGCAGAACATCAGATTTCTCTGGGTAATGCATTGCTGCATGGAACACTGTTGACAGTAGTTTCATTCTCTCTTAAAGAATATCAGTTCTTAGGCAGCAACAAGCATAAAGCACATCAGCATGAGCATTTGTACCTGCCATCTTATAAAGAAAATTGTATCATCTCTTTTACAGTTTTATTTTCTTATGCAGCCAAATGTGTCAGGCCACTTTGTGCATAAGCATAATGTAGGGCTCCTGACCAAGCATTTGAGCCAGACACTGCAAGGAATTTGCATCCTAGGACTGCATATTCCTGTTGTATTTATTTCTTCTGATAGTCCTTGAACTACATATCAATTGTACTGTTCTGCACATGTCTCATCCACAGGAAAGTTGAGCTGAAGTTATGGATTTAGATTTGGAGTAACAAGGCAACTGCAAGATTTCATCAAATCAGTTGCAAGCATTTCTTTTATAGTTTTGAAGAAATTTCATTTATTGAGCCAAAACCAGCCTAAGAAACAATCATTACCATTTTATAACATTATCTTTCATTTCTTAGCACCTTTTTTAGGCAAACTGGAGATTATAAACTACACTTAGTCTTCGTGTGCATACTTTAGATTTTTGGTGAGAGCCACCCTCAGCTACTTAACATAAATCGTTCTTGTAAATCTATTCCAGCTAATCATGTCCGTTTTTGAGAACAGCATGAAAGAAAGAGGCATCACTGAAAATGAAGCCTTTGACTGGGAGAAAGCTGGTACAGATATTTTGTTGTCCACTAGCACCTCAACTCCACCACAGCAAAACACCAGGCAAACAGCAGCCATGTTTGGGTGAGTGTCGCAGTTGTGCCAGTCAGACTATGGTCAACAAGCTCAGTAATAAGTTCGTTTTTGTAAAGATTTCAAGACCATTATGATCCTTGGAAGTTGGGACCTCATGGCAGCCACCACTTCATTTGACTTCGTATATTAACATATGTCTAAGGTGGTGGAACCCAGGTTTCAGGTCCTTGTTGTCTTGAAAATGCATTTTCTACTGGGGTGAGTGTGTGGGTTGGAGTCACATTAAGGGATGTCTGGAGACCTCTGAGCAGGATCAATGGAGCTTGTATATCATGCATATTATATGGCATACATGCCTGGAGCTTCTGTGAGAGCACCTGCTTTGAGGTGGGTTTGTGATTGACAGTGAGCTGAGTACAGCTGAGTGCATGTACTGGTCACATCTCTAACACAGCTCCTAAGCCTTTACAGCGTGTTTCATGTGCTGGTGCAAAGGTACACAGAGATTGATGCTCAGAAGTGGAGGTGAGTCCAAACTAAAAATGATAAGGTTTGGTTCACTGGTCTGTCTAGGTGCTTTTGAGGGGGCTGGCATTGGGGGATAACAGTAATCCCTAGTAATATTACAGAAAATAAAAGCTATAAGGCCTATTAAGCCTCATTTGCTTGTGCAAAGGGGGAAGTTTCTTCTAAGCTCAATACTGTGTGATGGGCACTTCTGAAGAAGCTTTCAACCTGTGTATCAAGGGTCCCAAGATGCTTCCACTGATACAATCCACTGTCTTTGTGAGTTTACGTTAGATGTTCTGATTCAGGCTGTCATATCTGGGATAAAGCTGGTCTGCCTGTTTTTCAACCTGGTCATACCCTAAAAACTGCTAAGGAGATCCTGTGAGGCAGTGTGATAGGCCTCCTTCTTTATGTACTGATAATTTGTATCATCTTATCTCTTCCATAGGGTGGTTAATGTCACTCCAGTACCTGGGGACTTGCTTCGTGAGAACACTGAGGATGTCCTACAGGGTGAACATCTGAGTGATCAAGAGAATGCTCCTCCCATCCTGTCAGGCCGGCCAGTGGAAGGTCTTGGTCAGACTCCAAACACCGCTTTCAATGAGGGTGAAGTTTGGGAAGAGACAGATGTGAATCGCAACAAACTCAGGATCAGCATCAGCAAAGTAAAGAACATTCCCTGATCTCCTGTGGCTGTTGGATTTAGGGCAATGGTTCCACAGACTGCTAGAAGCCACTCAGATCCACTGATGTAACATGCTACATAGTGCAGGCCAAAAAGCACTGAGGAGTTTCCTTGTGGAAAGAGGAAATGACAAACAATTTTTTCACAGAGTAAAAGCCGTTGGGATTAATTTGGATCTTTATGCAAGTGACATTTTGGGGGCCACTAATGCTAAAGTGAATCTTTCTTACAATCATATAATTATCTAGGATTTTGATACCTCAAGCAAGAGAATTCTAGTCCTTGCATAGCTGATACAATATCAGAAATGCCCCAAGCTTGGAAATTATAAGCCAAAAGTTTATCGCGTTCCAACCTCTTGCGTAAATAAATTTAATCAGAGGTGTCTTCATAAGCTGTATTTTTCTGTATCTTGAATCATCACTAATTTCTCTCTTCCTTTTTTTTAACTTTCCTTTCTAAGGGTAGGACAATCTATAAGGAGCATCTAATGATGGTTTCACCCCTGTGAAGAGTGAGAGAAACCATCACTTAATATTCTCATATTTCTGCATTCCAAAATCATATTGCACCTTTTAGCTTGCATGAAGTGTATACTTCAGTTGATTTTCCTCATAATCTGCAAGATGTTTCTTAGTCCTTTCATTTAAATCTTACTTAATTTCTTGGAGGCATCCTCATTGAGTGATGATAGTATAGTAAATGTTAAGTATAAGGATCTACCAGTTAGTTTATTTATTAGATCGGCTTACATATTGTAAGTAAGTTAGTATTTGTATCAGGACATCAGATACATATATAATGTGTTAGCAGAGAAACATTCATCAGTCTTAAAGTGTTGTTAGGGCATATTGGATTCATGTCACAAACCTGTCTTTAATGGACATTTGTGGACTAGCATGTTAAATCTATCAGTCTTCTGGGTCTGACCAGAATTCACTTCAGTCTTTACCAGTAAAAAGTTAGTCCTTATTTCAGCAATGTAGATATCTTTGCAATCCTTAGTCTTATTAGAAAAAACATTATGCATGGACAAGAAATAATCTTATCTAACTTGCTTAAAATTCTCCAGTGCAAATAATTCGGATCAACATGTTATCTGTATGGAATGTTAGCAGCAGCATCCCCCAACACTGGGAATTATGAACCAATTTCAAATCACTTCTTCATCTCTCGCTGGTAACTGTGTACATTCCCAGAAGTTTTCATTTGAAGGCACATGAAATAAGAAAAGCCTGGTAGAGAGGGACAGTTCTGTTCATACAACATACAGAAAAATCCTGGTAACTTCTGTGTATTTTTCTGTTCCTTTTAACCACCAGGTGCCTTGATGCTTTCAGTCAGACTGAGGTATGCACAGGGGAGTCCTAAATGTCCTTTCTGTGTGCTAGTTCTATGTCATGTCTTAGGTACCCAGCGCTGTCATTCACAAGCCCTATCATAAAAGCAGTTAGAGGCAGGAGGGGTTTCTACAAGATCCACAGCATAACCAGGTGACTCTCCCACCAGGGAATATGCTATTTGTTGTCAGATTACTGGTAAAGCAACTTACAGAGTTAGTCAGCATGGCAATGAGCACTTCAGCTCTGACAAGTCTGTGCTACACAGCAGTCTATGCAGTAGACCTCAGGGCATCATGCTCTCCAAAGCTTTCTCTCCCTGGGGGTTGTTATCTTTAGTCTGACTCTTGGCCTGCCTTGCTTTGCCAGACCTATTATCTTTAGTCTGAGTGTTCTCTGAGAGAGAATAATTTTTTATTTAAGTAACAGTCACCATATGAAGAAAAAAAGGATGCTGCAGATTTGATATCTAAGGGCACATCTTCACCTCTGCTTGTAATTTGAGGCATCCCTTGTGTCTTTCAGAACCACAAGGGCAGCTGGTGCGTTAAACACCCTTCTGCTATTCACAACTTCACCGTCCTTCATCTTTCAGTCTTGTAGCACTAGAAGTAGCTGTCTCTCCTTGTCTTGCTCTTTGCATTTAGGTGATAAGTGGATGTTGCCATGTTTTTTCTTCCTAATAATTCTCTAAGGTCATCCTTATTTCTTTGTTCACACAATTCTGGTCTCCTTCTGTCCCACTTCTCCCATTTCTGTGCTAAGGACAGGGCTTACTGTCACTGTTCTCCCACACCATCCCCCAATTCTCTGCTCTGGGATCTTACCAAGTTGCCTGCTACCCGACAGTTATATCAGCACTCTTCTCGTTTCACAAATGCATTTGACCTTCCTTTGTCACTAACTGTCTCCTGGCCATGAATGAATTACAGATTAAATCATTATCATCTATTCTGCTTTTCCTCTAATGCCTGGAAGTTCTCCTCCGCTCTTCCTAGCTGCAAAGGCTCTTTAGTTATACATTCCAAACCCAGCCTGAGTGGTTTAGGTCTGTTAATTTATGGACACTGACTGACTTGCTATGTACTCATTGCATGCACAAAGGCAACTGTCTTGATCAGCAGCATTTTACTGAGAAGCTGCTTATGTTCAGAGCCTCTAGCATTAATAGAGGACAAGTGAATGTAGGGCATGCAGCAGAGAAGGATAAGCACTCTCCGTACTGGGAACTTGCACTGGCACCTGCATACACATTCCCACACAGAGGCAGTGTGTCGTAGCTGATGTTGCATGGCTGGCAACACAGCAGTATTTGAATGCAAATCCTAGACTGCTGCTGTAGTCCTTGGACCATTCTGCCTCTATGCTTTTGCCTAAGCAGGCCCTCTCTTCCAAGAGGAATCAACAGTCTGGAAGGCAGAAGGCAGCTGTGTTAGTCACCTACTTTTGCTTCCTTGTCTGCTGCTAAAAAAAAATCAAATTCACTAAGGCCGTATGAAAAAGGAAAATATGTACGGATGTGAGGAAATATGTACATGTCTATGAGCATGTTCAGGTTCTTGCATGACCTTGGGTCTGTGGAAAGCTCTTACAGATGTGGTTGAATGTATGTCCTGGAGGACTTTGTTTAGAGTAGCATGATTTAAATAAACAAAGAAAGAAATAAAACACAAACAAAAACCCCGAACTACCCTGGTAATTAGGAAATGGCTTAGTCATATCAAGTTCTTCAGATGTAAAAGTTTGAATGTTGCAACTGTATGAATTGATAGATGCAGGTTAACCAAGATGGCCATGACTCACAGCTGAAGTATGAAGAGTAGATTTATTCCATCATTGCAGAGACATACATACACTGCTAAGTCCAAATTTGGCAGGGGCAAAAGCACCAGGCCAGTATGGGGTTTGCTGTGCATATTAAAGGCCTGATGCATATGCAAATTCATCAACAGGCTCTGTTTTTACAATTCTAAACTCTCTTATCTCCATTCCCTCCAAGCCTGTGCGAAAGAGTGCTTTTAAGTATTTAGCAACATTCTGTTATCTTCTTTGAGAGAATTCCATTTCTTTCATCAGACAGAAAACAACCCAAAGGAAACACATGTGAAAATTCCCACACTGAAAAATTATTCTTAGCATCAGAGAATAATCTAGGTTGGAGAAGACCTCTGAAATCATTGAGTCCAACCCTATGACCTAACACCACCTTGTCAACTAGACTATGGCACTAAGTGCCACATCCAGGCTTTTCTTAAACACTTCTAGGGGCAGTGACTCCACCACCTCCCTGGGCAGCCCATTCCACTGCCCAATACCTCTTTCTGTGAAGAATTTTTTCCTAATATCCAACCTAAACCTCCCCTGGTGCAGCTTAAGACTGTGTCCTCTTGTCCTATTGCTGGTTGCCTAGGAGAAGAGACCAACACTCACCTGGCTACAATCTCCTTTCAGGTAGTTGTAGAGAGTGATGAGGTCTCCCCTGAACCTCCTCTTTTCCAGGCTGAACAACCTTAGCTCCTTTAGTTGCTTCTCATAGGACTTGTTCTCCAGACCCTTCCCCAGCCTCATTGCCCTTCTTTGGACCTACTCCAGCACCTCAATGTCCTTCCTGAATTAAAGGGCCCAGAACTGGATACAGCACTTGAGGTGTGGCCTCACCAGCACTGAGTACAGGGGAAGAATCACTTCCCTGGTCCCACTGGCCACAGTGTTCCTGATACAGGCCAGGATGCCATTGGCCTTCTTGGCCACCTGGGCACACTGCTGGCTCATGTTCAGCCTGCTGTCAATCAGTACCCCCAGGTCCCTTTCTGCCTTCCGAGCTGCAGGGTTATCTTGAGCGGAAACAACTAAAAATAGCACTATCTCCTCACCAAATCTTCCATTTTCAACCCTTCCTTCCCACACAATATAATGTGTGGACTCTGCATAGATGAACGTTGGCAAACAAGGGCTCTTAGACATCTTGGATAAGCAGTTAGAGTTTGTGTATGCAGTAGGTTAACCCACGGTAACTCCTTTGGATTCAGGGTAGTTGAAATGCAAAGGCTACTGCAAAGACATTTAAATATTTGAATTTATTTAAAAACTGCACCTTATTTTAATACTCAGTAATTGCCAGGGCATAGAGACCCTTGCATTCCTTCAGGAATTGCTTGTGTAGATTGTGAAAATGCAGCTGAAACTGTATCCTGGAAGAAAGCACTGAGCAACAGTGCTGGATGGGATTGGTCAGACTTTTAAGTTCTTTGTGTTTACCCACTACAGACTCAGTGCATGGTGGAAGAGGAGCAGAGAAACGGTGTCTGCCCCAGTTCCCCTGTCCGAGTGCCTCCGGAGTCCCCCACCGCACAAGTACGCTCCCTCAGATACCGCCGTGTGAACAGCCCGGAGTCAGAACGCCTCTCCACTGCTGATGGCAAAGGGGATCCACATGAAAGAAGGTTTGTTCACCCTCTGTAGCCTCCTACTTTTTCTGGCAGTGTCTTGATGATTGACCGCTGAGACCAACCTAATCGTTAGATCAGCAGGTACTGGAAGTTTATTTCTGGGTAGAGGAGTTCATGAGCTTTATAATCTTTCTGATGAGATATAAACTCATGTCTCTTAATGAGGAGAGTTAGTGGGAATGATTCCCATCCTGTCCCTGGATGGGAAGAACTCCACAGATGGAAGGAGGGACATTTTTCAAAGGAAAAGCAAAGCATCAAATCAGAGATAAAGTAACAGTCAGAAAACTTTTGACTGGCCTGAGGTGGGAGGGAAGGATGAATCTTCTTAGGATACATACACATAGGGATGTATATATTCTGTAACTGGCAGATCCTGATCTGGTGGGTTTCATTATTTTATTATTTTTCCTTATTTTTCATCAATAGGAGTAGTAGTATTCACTTTTCAGCATACAGCATTGTGCTTGTTTGCATGTGAAAAGTACACTTTGCTTCTTGATTTTGAGGTATTAGGAATACTTTCTCTCAGATCCACAGCAAAGAAATAAACAAAAAAACCCAAGATTAATAAAAAAATGATGAAAAGAAGCTTTTTAAACTATTGTGTGTTGGAGAACATATTTACAAAACATAAGCCCTTGGTACTGGTAATGCCCTTCACATCTGTTTTATGCTTCTAATTGAAATTCAGGGTATGCACTGTGGTTGTAGGATATGGTGAAATGGCCCCTCTAAAAGAGGTAAGGGAGAGACAGGCCTTCTTCTCTGAGAAAATCTGACAGACTTCAGCCAAGAAGAACAGTCACAAGGAGACGGTAGCTGGAAACGAAGTAGGATGTAAAGGAACTAGAGAGAGGAAGAGCCCCAAGCACTACCCCCAGTGTATTAGGCAGTGTTTTATTCTGAGTGGCTGGGGTAATCTAATGCTTTTCTGTAGTTTAGAAAGGACTGTTTGTGTTGCTATTAATAATTTAGGGTTTGAATAACTTACTACCTGTTTGTTTTCTTCTTGCTCAGAAAAAAGACTCTTTAAAATAGGAAGGGAAACAAGTCAATATAAAGTCAGCAACACTAGTCCTGTATATTCACTAAATCCTTCTAACTCCTTACTTTCTTTCTTCCTCTCTTCCTTGTCTACTCAGCATCATGCTAAATTTATCCCTTTCTCCTGTCTTCTTTCTTCAGCTTCTGGTTTTAAAACCAGTATCTTTTTTCATCTTCCAAGTAGCCTGCACCAAGTATGGTGCAAATACAATCCCATTCTGCCCCACAATCTCTCTTTATTCTGTTTTCATCCTTTTGCAACACAGATTTGATTCCCAGCTTTGGCAAATTCTTTTGGCTTTCTGGAGTAAATTATTCTTCTCAAGGTGTCTCTCCTCTGCTGGGGAATGGATGAAGACGTTGGCTAAATTCAGAGTTTTATTTTTTCAGCAACAGCTCTTTAAAATCCAGTTCTTCATACACACAGTACAGGCCATTTTTCATTCTTAGTTTGCATACTTAAGTGGTCCTTCTTCACAACAATATATTTTTAAGACTATAACAAATACAACCTTTCAGATCCATCACATGACTTTTGCTGAGATCTTTGTTTTTGCTCACAACTTTTATCCACATCAACCTTTGGTTCACCTCTTTCTCTACTTCCCCTTTCTTCATCAAAAACTGAAAGGCTTTCCCAGAAGAATCTGCAAGATGATCCTTTTTGAAATCGCTTTGTAAAACACACTGCAGATGTCCAAAAATCTGAGCAGCAGACACTTTGGCTTTGTGCAGCAAGCTGCTTGCCTCTGAGATAGGTGGAAAAGCAAAGTAAGAGGCAGATGCAGGCCAAATGAGAAACCTGGATCATAACACTGTGGAGCAGAAAGACAGGAGTGCCACTGGCTTCTCCAGCTGAGATGCTGTCAGAGCTATTGAAGCACAAGGAGCCTCCAGAGCCTTTTTGAAAGGTATTTCTTCATGGCTGCAGAAGCTGCTGCTATTTAGACTGTGAGCCTAACATTATACTACCCTTTGTAAAAGGATACTTACCATATTTACTTTGTGCCTCTTCAGAATATGTTGGGGTTATCTGTGTGTAATGGGATGAAAGATTCTTGCTGTCTTCAAAGAAATTGTGTGGCTGCCTTAGAGGCCTCAGTGGCCACCACAGAGAGAGCACAGTGAAGCTGGTTACAGGAGCCCAGGAGAGACACTAGTTAGTCAGACAGTAGATTTAGGATTTAGGGGTGTTTTGGTTTTGGTCTGATTTTTTTTCACAAACCAGTAAAACTTACCAAAGGGGAAAGGTGTTGTTGGAGGAAAATGGCTTTGATTCTGTCTAGGAGGAAAAGAGATGCTGAATTGACTGTTACACTGAAGCACTTTAAGGGAACATCTTTATGCCACTGTAGGTTCTAGAGAAATATTTTTGCTTAAGCCTGTCTTTCTGAAGCGTACCAAGAAATGAGTGAGAAGGACTATACGGGTTTTCTCTTATCATACCTGTCTTTAACCACAAACCTGATGTATTTTTAATGGCTTCATGTTCTGTCTCTAGATCTCGAATGGATATACCTGGCTCTCCATCACGGCTTGTATGCTCCTCCCAGCCAGCCCAGATGCTGTCCATTGATACTGGCCAGGCTGACCGGCAGGCGAGTGGTAGGATGGATGTGTCTGCTTCGGTGGAACACGAAGCCCTCAGCAATGCTTTCCGCTCAGTGCCACTTGCAGAAGAGGAGGACTTTGATAGCAAGGAGTGGGTTATCATTGATAAGGAGACAGAACTGAAGGACTTTCACCCAGGTGCTGAGCCAAGCACCTCTGGAACCACGGATGAGGAGCCCGAGGAACTAAGGCCTATTGAAGATGGTGAAGAGAGAAGGCGCTTGGGGGCAGATGCTGCAGTCAGGCCGAAGACGCATGATGGGCGAAGTCGGGGTATGCAGCCTGTGACTGAGGAGGACAGTTCCCACAGACATGAAGGACCTTCTCAAACAGTATCTGACAGTAGACATGAACAGCAGACAGGAAGTCCAGCCCACTCCCCCTTACATTCAGCACCAGCTCTCCGACAAAGGAGACGAGAATCTGAACCTACTGGTCCTCAGAGACAGGTAAGATCCCTGGGTCTGTACCTTGTTGCCTAGCATAGCATCATCTTAGGAAACCTCAGCTGTGCTGGAGAAGTCTTTGATTCCAAGCATGATTGCTCTTGTGAAACTCTTCTGACAGCGCTTGCAAATGTTGTGAACACCTTAGAAGTGCTCCCTATAGCTATAGTGACATAGTCCACTTCTGAGGACACTGTTATGGAGATCTTTCAGCCATTTTGGCACAGGAACAAGAGGAGAGCGCAGTTGTGATTGTGGGTGTCTTTAGTCAGTTCTCTTATGCTTTCCCACAGTGTTTTGTTAATAACTGCTTAGTTGTATGGAAGTGTTGCTAGCAAATCTTTTCCACGTAGTTTCTCAGCAGCAACAGCAGTGTATGGCAAGAAAATGCCCTCTAATCTAATTACATATCAGCACAGGCCTGCAGTAATGCAAATCATAAAATAACTCCCTGAAATTAAACTTTCTTTTAAATACCTGATATAAAGCTCAGAGTAACCAGCACTCACATCCCATCAGCCTTACTTCAGCGAGAGGCATTGTTGTTACCATGTATTTAGTCACAGAAATGTTCTTTACCTACTGTGTTTTTTCCAGATAGTTGTAGAGGGCTTTTTTTCTTTCAGTTTTGCTTTTTTCCTGTGATCCTCTAATGCTATAAAGAAGTTCAGTTTTTGGTGGGAGGTAATTTATTAGATTACGTGGAAAAATATGATACACTGTTAGGCTCAGAGTTCCTCTGTCATATCTAATCTTCCTTTCTCAGAAGAAGGCTGTCTCAGAGTGCTCAGTACAAGAGACAATCAAATTGTTCTCCTGAGAGCTTTTTGTATTTATATGTTAATGAAGATCTCTCATGCACGTGGGATCCATATGCACAGCAAAGAGCAGGCGAGTTTTGGGTAATGTACACAGTTATACCCTGCTATGACAGACATTTGTACAGTCTGCTTGTTCCTTTCTGGAAGATGGTAACTCCATTTCCCCTTCCCTCTTGAGCTTTTTCTCCAAGGAAGTGTTCACTGGACTGGAGCATGTTAAAAGAACATCCTTCCATTCAGGTCTTGCCCAGTTTCTTCTCCTCTCTGGATCCTTGAGAGGTACAAGGGAAAAAGGACTGTTAGTTTTGGCAGCAAAATGGGAATGATAAAAGAATCTATGTAAAAGGAATCAAAGCAAATCCTTGCCTGCCAGGCAGGGTGTTGCTTGCTAACGTGTATCAGGATACAGCCTACAGGCTGCTGTAGGCTGTATCCTACAGGAAGGGTAGAAATGCTGACAGCAGACACTAGTGGGACTGTCCTGCTGAGCATGGAATAGAAGCCGAACATGCTTCTCATGGAGACTGCATCCAGTTGCAAGGTTCCTAAATGAAGGTGTTTGCTGTATAAAGCCAATATGTTGAATGCTCCAGATATCTAGAGATTACGTGAGGCAAGATTGGCAGAGTTGGAAAGGTCTGTGTCTGAATTTTTTCTGCGTGTACACTTACTGGGTTGGTCAGTGCAGGATCTGCAAGATGCAGTGAACATGGTAAAAGCCAGCTGATAAGAATCAGCTGTAAAAAACATCAGGGACACTTCACTGACATATTTATTGTGACTAAAGAAGGCCAGAGACGCCTTCTTGGCCATAGAATGTACACCCCTGTGTGAAATGACTGAGGGAGTTGGGTATGGGGCAGTACGAAGGCTGCTTATCACTGCACAGTGATACTTAACAAGCAGGCAAGAAAGGTAAATCAATGGGATTGTGGGTGATTACTGCTAATATATTAGACAGGCTTTGTTCTCCAGCTGACTGGATTTTTTTGTTCCTATGCTCTGAAATACCCTCTATTTACTCCTTGGCCTAGCTTTGTGCATACAGACCAACACTGGACTTCTTTGGCTGACTGGGATTTAATTATTCTTCCTTTGATGTCTGGATCCTTCAGTTGCCTCTATACACACAGCTTTGAAGTGATATTCATATTTTTCCATTTGCTGTCACAAAACCAACTACTAACTTTCAAAGGAAAAATTACTTGGTGCCTAAAGGAAAGCAGAAGCCTGTTCTCCTTAGGTACAGCAAATAAGGAGGGACACTAACAAGAAGTTGACCAACGATTTAACTAGTGAAGATACTGATGGCCTTGTTAGCAATGACACGTTTCCTGTAGCTCAGGCTTGGGCTTCCCTGGATTTGATTGAAGCTGGGATTAGGCTCTGTGTATGTATATGTGCGTGCATGTTAGTAAATCTTCCTTATCTTTGCATATGAACTGAACCTTTAGGATAGATAAAAATTTCACTAAATGCAGAACTACTGTGATTGATGTCATAGGCTTTGTTGTACCGATTTGTGACCTCATTTTGGTGTCCCAAAAACCGGTGATCATCCATTGGTGTCAATAGAGTACTAACTGAGAGCAATTGGGTAATCCCTGTTCTAATGTTTTTTCTGTTTCTCCATTACCTGACTTCCATATATGAGCCGTTACTGGCGGAAAGTCAGTGACTTCTGGATTGTCATAGAATCACAACATGCTTGAGATTGGAAGGGACCTCTACAGATCACCTAGTCCCACCCTGTGCTCCAAGATGGATCACCTAGAGCAGGTTGCTCAGGACAGTGTCCAATCAGAAAGCTCTGAGGATGGAGACTCCACAACATCTCTGGGCAACCTGTTCCGGTGTTCAATCACGGTTATGATAAAAAACTTTTTCTTATGTTTAAGTGGAATTTCCTGTTTTTCAATTTATGTCCATTTCTTCTCGTTCTTTCACTGGACACCATTAAGAAGAGTGTGGATCCACCTTCTTTTTCCCATCAGGTATTTATAAATGTTGATAAGAACCTCCCTGAGCCTTCTCTTCTCCAGAATAAAAGATCCCAGCTCTCACAGCTTTTCCTCAAGTGAAAGGTCTCCCAATCCCTTCATCATCTTTGTGACTCTTCTCTGGACTATCTCTAGTATGTCCATGTTTCTCTTTTACTGGGCACCTCAGAACTGGAACACAGCACTCCAGGTGCTGAGTAGAGGGGAAGGACCATGTCACCCATCCTGCTGGCAGCACTCCTAATGCATCCTGGGAGGCTTTGGGGCCTTTCTACCACAAAGGCACCTTGCTGGCTTGTGTCCAGCTTAGAGGCCACCAGGACCTCCAGGTACTTCTCTGTCAAACTCCTTTCCAAACAGGTGACCCCCAGCATGTTCTGTTCCTTCTCACACACAGGACTGTGCAATCCCCTTTGTTGAACTTAGTGATTTTGCCCATTTCACCAGCCTATCCAGGCACCTCTGAATGTCAGCACTTGTATCACCTGGGAATCTGCTGAAGGTACACTCTGTCCCATCATCAGGGTCATTAATGAAGTCATTAAACAGTGATGGCCTTATCCACCCATGGCTACACCGCTAGTGACCGGCCTCCAGCTGGACTTTTTTTCTCTAAACACTTTGAGGCCAGGAGCTCAGCCAGTTTTCAGTCCGACTCACTGTCTACTTATCTAGCCTTTATTTCATCATTTTGTCTGTATGAGAGGTGGTGCTGTCCTCGTGAAACTCGGTGGGTGTAAGAGGGAGCATAATATGATCAGATGCTGCTGCTAGGAAAATCAAGTACAGAGGAGGCTCAGAATAGCCTGGGGGAATTTCTGACCCAAATATTCTCACATATTAGATACCTCCCAGTTTCAGATAACAAGAAGATGGCTGCAGTGGAGCATAGATCTCATGGGAAGTCCTAGTATAGAGGAAGAATAGGTCTGTCATGAAACTATGTCCTATTCAGACCTAACAGAGCTCTTAGGATTTGCTTTAATGTATGCATTTCAGGGATGTACTAATAAGTCTCTGCTTATTTTTATGCACTAATGTGCGTATAAAGCTATAGAAATAGATTAAAAATGACTGGAAAAAGGATTGAACCTCCACTTCTGCTTACATATCAATCCTGATGCAGGGTTGCGCTTACTGTTGGAAATAATTTAAATCCACACCTCATAATCTAATTGAAAAATCTGTCAGGTTCTTAAACATGCTGAGTAAATTCACTGATACTTGGCAGAGATGGCAACTTACTGCTGCCTTCTGCATTAAAGAGAATTACAAATATTCTTAAATTTATGAGTTTTAGAAATTAGTTCTGACCATAGTTCTGTGCTCATTGGCGTTTCTTGACTCTGTCTCCTCTGCTGCTAGTGCAGTTGGCATTGTACAAAATGTTTTGAGATTTACCTGCCTAAAACATGCCTGTCCAAATGATGTCACGTGTACAAACCACCAGAAAAGCAAAAAGTGAAAGTGGGAGATGATATTAACTCTTCTTTACCTATTCTTGGATATATTCCGCAGAGTTCAGAGAGCATTTTTCTTTTCTCTCTTATAGTACTTATCTCCCAGAGCCAAGAGTTTATCTTTTAAAAAAGGTCCCAATGTGAAGAGGCATTAATGTTTTTCCTCACCCGCTCAGCTGTGTAATTAGAATCACTCTTCAAAAACATCTCACTTGATGCTGTCTTAGGCCTCTTTTCTCCCCCAGCCAGCCAGGAGAATGCCACAAGCAGGCTTAGTTAAAGATGTCCATGTCTCAAACCTGAGAAAGCAGCAGCTGTAGAGCTTTTGAGTCCTTCCCAGCTATAGACCACCGTGGGTGTCTTTGCTGAGAGATCACACATGGGTGCTGAGCATGAAGACCTGGGTTGGTAATTCTGACAGGCAGTCAGAAGCACAATGCCCAGCCAGGCAGGGGATGATGCTGTTCTCTTCCTCCATTGATTTGAGCTGGTGATGACTGTTCCTCAGAAAGGGACACAGAGACACAGGAGAGGGCTGCCTCTCAGTAAGGAGAGGGCTCCAGCATTTTGGGTGAACTGTACTGCCTCTCTGATTCATGTTGTGTAGAACCCTGGGCTGCCCCAGGTCTGTTACCTGGAGGAACTCTGATTTGCACTGAGGACTGAAAGCGAGCAGGACTTTCTCTAGGTTATATTTTTTTGAAGCCCAGTGGCCTCCGTGG